TTAATGTTTTAAAAATATGTATTGTGTTAATTTTTACATATTATTAGTGACGATTTTTGTATCTATTTTCCATATATTGTATGATATTAGCATTGGGAAAACTTTCAACAGTAACGCCACATGCCAAAAGGCTCTCAGTGATCAAAAAACTGAAAAATAGGAAAGTTGAATTATCGAAGAATAAAAAATTTTTAAAATCGAAAAATTGAAAAAACCAGAAATTGAAAAGTTCCCAACACTGATAGTGTTGAAGAAAATTGAGAAATCGAAAACTTGAAAAATCGAGAAATCTAAGAATCGAAAAGCCGAAAAATCTTTAAAATCGAAAATCCAAGATGGTAAGAAATCGAAATAAAAAATCGTAAAACCGCAAAATTGAATTATCCAAAAATCCAAGAATTCAAAAATAGAAACATTGAACAACTGAAAAACCGAAAAATTGAGACATCGAAAATCTGAAATTTAAAGCATTGAAAAATAAAATATCGAAAAATTCAAAAATCGAGAAATCGAAACTCAAAAATGTAAAAAACGGAAAATTTTAAAAATCGGTTAACTGAAAAATCGAAACATCGAGAAATTGGAAAATCGAAATATTGAAAAGCCGAAAAACTGAGACATCGAGAAATCGCAAAATAAGAGGATCGAAAAATCGAGGGGTCGAAAAGTTGAGAAGTCGAAAAATTGAAAAAGTGAGAAACCGAAATAGGCCAAAATCAAAAATCGAAAAGTTAAGAATTGAAAAATTAATAAATCAAGAAATTGAAGAATCAAAGCATTTGAATGTCTAAATCTTGATGAATCGAGAAATCAAAAAATTGAAAAATCTACAAATTAAAAAAAAATGGGAAATTGAAAATTTAAGAACTCGTAAAATTGAAAAATTTAAATAGAAGAACTGAAAACTCGAGAAATCGCAAAATCCAGAATTTTAAGAATTGAAAAATTGATATGTCCAGAAACTGTAAATTCAAAAAAGTAAAAATCCAGAAGTCGAAAAATCGAACAATCGAAATATTGAAAAATATAGGCAAAAATCAAAAAATCGAAAAGTTAAGAATTGAAAAATTAATAAATCAAGAAATTGAAGAATCAAAGCATTGGAATGTCTAAATCTTGATGAATCGAGAAATCAAAAAATTGAAAAATCTACAAATTAAAAAAAATTGAAAAATTGAAAATTTAAGAACTCGTAAAATTGAAAAATTTAAATAGAAGAACTGAAGACTCGAGAAATCGCAAAATGCAGAATTTTAAGAATTGAAAAATTGATATGTCCAGAAACTGTAAATTCAAAAAAGTAAAAATCCAGAAGTCGAAAAATCGAAAAATCGAAATATTGAAAAATATAGGCCAAAATCAAAAAATCGAAAAGTTAAGAATTGAAAAATTAATAAATCAAGAAATTGAAGAATCAAAGCATTGGAATGTCTAAATCTTGATGAATCGAGAAATCAAAAAATTGAAAAATCTACAAATTAAAAAAAATTGAAAAATTGAAAATTTAAGAACTCGTAAAATTGAAAAATTTAAATAGAAGAACTGAAGACTCGAGAAATCAAAATCCAGAATTTTAAGAATTGAAAAATTGATATTTCCAGAAACTGTAAATTCAAAAAAGTAAAAATCCAGAAGACGAAAAATCGAAGAATCGAAATATTGAAAAATATAGGCCAAAATCAAAAAATCGAAAAGTTAAGAATTGAAAAATTAATAAATCAAGAAATTGAAGAATCAAAGCATTGGAATGTCTAAATCTTGATGAATCGAGAAATCAAAAAATTGAAAAATCTACAAATTAAAAAAAATTGAAAAATTGAAAATTTAAGAACTCGTAAAATTGAAAAATTTAAATAGAAGAACTGAAGACTCGAGAAATCGCAAAATCCAGAATTTTAAGAATTGAAAAATTGATATGTCCAGAAACTGTAAATTCAAAAAAGTAAAAATCCAGAAGACGAAAAATCGAAGAATCGAAATATTGAAAAATATAGGCCAAAATCAAAAAATCGAAAAGTTAAGAATTGAAAAATTAATAAATCAAGAAATTGAAGAATCAAAGCATTGGAATGTCTAAATCTTGATGAATCGAGAAATCAAAAAATTGAAAAATCTACAAATTAAAAAAAAATGGAAAATTGAAAATTTAAGAATTCGGAAAATTGAAAAATTTAAATAGAAGAACTGAAGACTCGAGAAATCGCAAAATTCAGAATTTTATGAACTGAAAAATTGATATGTCCAGAAACTGTAAATTCAAAAAAGTAAAAATCCAGAAGTCGAAAAATCGAAGAATCGAAATATTGAAAAATATAGGCCAAAATCAAAAAATCGAAAAGTTAAGAATTGAAAAATTAATAAATCAATAAATTGAAGAATCAAAGCATTGGAATGTCTAAATCTTGATGAATCGAGAAATCAAAAAATTGAAAAATCTACAAATTAAAAAAAAATGGAAAATTTAAGAACTCGGAAAATTGAAACATTTAAATAGAAGAACTGAAGACTCGAGAAATCGCAAAATCCAGAATTTTAAAAATTGAAAAATTAAAATATCCAGGAACTGTAAATTCAAAAATTAGAAGAAGAATTTAGTGAAGGAGAAAAATTAGGAAATCAGCAGAAATTAATGAAATAAAACCAAATATGCTACTTTATGAATATCGTGCAGATAGGATAACGATAACAAAAATTTGTGATCATTTTATAGTATCACCTCAAAATTTTGCATGATGGTAAGTGCTATTTAAATTTTATAAACTGTACTTGTGCCTTATGAACCGGCCTTTATTTTTCATCGAAAGTATCCAGATTTTCGCAAAAAAATTAAAATTGGTTAACAACATTTTACAATAATATAAGAGGAATGCTGATCAATAGCAACAGCAGTCGCGGATTCGATCCATTAATGTGATTGGTATTACATTTTTTTCTAAGAAACTAAATTTCTTTTACTGTACTTCAGTAGTGATGGACTTACCTAATAACATGAAACAAATAAAAAAAAAGTTTATTTCTTTCACACAATTTCGTCTATTAGCCCATAAATCAAATTGTGTCTCCCCATTTCAAAAGGTTACGAGTCGCTACTGGTATTCAATAAAGTAAAAGTAAAGATGCAAATAAATTTTTCCATCACAAAATTTTATCATAACGTGATCAACATTCCAGCAAGGACACATATATTAATCTGGAAAAGTGGAGTGTAATACTAACAATAACAGTACTATATTGCCAAATTTTCAAGAAAATCGGGAGAGCCATCTTGATCTATTCAATAAAAGAAATGCCTCATTCATAAGTAGATTGTTAACGACTCATCTGCCAACGAGGATACCAATACATTATTCTGAGAAACCATAAACTCAGAACAACAAGCGGAGGTGGCCGATGACCGATTGTTTCTGCTTGTTTGATAATTTGCTTAATTTTTTTTTTTTTAATAACAAGATTTTCTTAATATAAAGAATCAGAGGAGTCGTCACGTTTGGCTTTCATTCTCAGAGTGTAAAATCTCCATTATTAGCATACTTATGTTCGTGAAATTTTAAATATTCGCTGTCCATACAATTTAAGCAGTTTTTTTTAATTCATCTTTTTTTTTCTGAAATTTTTCATCGCGTTTCTAAAAATCACTACATAGCTCAATTATTTAGGAAAAAAAAACACGGTTTTCATCACTCTTATACAGTAGATATACAGAATAAACAGAGATACAGTAAAAGCAGATTATTTCGAGAAAGTGGTGAAAACCGCGTTCCGAAATTGCCATAAAAAATTGAAAAATTGAAAAAAGATAAAAAAAACTGTTCTTGTGCTACATAGAGAAAACGGTGAACAGGTTATATTTAAAATTTTATAACAATCATGAGATATTACATTCCGAAAATGTGTTGAAAATCCCATGCGTCAAACGTAACGACTGACTTCAACAACCTGCATTTTCAATTTCTATAAGCTATAAATTGTCAAAATATTAAACTGCTCCACAAATTGTATTAATTCTGCTTTCTTCGAATGTCCTTCAAACGACTGTAAAACTTCAAATAGAGTATAACTTCGTGAGAAAATATTTTAGACAAAAGGTAAAAATATGAAAAGTTGTGTCACCTCTGGAACCGTTTCTCCGTAAACAACGTGCTGGTTGTTAGTCCAAAGGTATTATCTTTTCTAAGCGACACCCCGTACATTCCCACAGCAGTCACGCATACAACGAAACACAAAACGACCACCTCTTGAAAGCCGACAATTAAAATGCCTGAAAAATCCCGCGACATCTTCATTAATTTTTTGCAAAAATAGAAGTCCCTCGAATCGGAACCGTCTCGTTGAGCTCTTCCCTCCCCGAGATAATTACAAAGATTAAGACTGTTAATCGGCGGCTCTTCTCGGAAATCTGTTAATTAAACAACAAAGCAGAGGAATCTGTTCTAATTGTCGCGATAAACTTTTGTTATATCTTGACAAACCGAACGCGATCTCGAGCAGCTGCGTTTTGACCGGGATTTCGTAGCATATGATGTGGGCTCTTGGTCGCAATTCATCATCAACTTAATCCCGAGCAAGCTCACGTAAAAATCGGGCTTCGGCGCAAAAAATTAATTACGCTTTCCCCGTTTTTTTGTTTTTTCGTGGACGCACAATCCTTCAAGAGCACCATCTGGCCGCGCGATTAAAGTCAATTTTTCATAATTACGCTTTTCCGACACGTTCGGGTCGGGTTTTCGTCGCGGCTGGGATAATTATCGAATAATAAGGCGCTTTTTCTTTATTCTTCTTCATCGGGTAAATTCTAGCGGGCTAATGACTGTCGACCGCTCGACAAAAAACCTAATTATATAATTAGTTATGCTCAGAATGACAGTCAGGTAAGAGTTAGACAAGCCTTCTATTATAGTTGTTAATGAACAAACATTTTTCAATGGGCGCTTTTTTGCTCGGCATCCTGTTAGGAGCCTCTAGATGATCGCCATTGTGCCGCTAATTAAATTAAAACTTACCCATTGATGGACGTTTGAGTCATGAACCAGCCGAGGAAGACTTTGACGATGGAGTGCCAAATCTGAGTCAACACCCAGTCGGATTTCTCCTCGGATTGCTGAAGGAATTTGATGGTGTCGTCGTCGGGACCCAGCTCGACGAATTTCGACGATAGGTCTGGAGGGAGTTTGCTGAGGTCGCAGTGGTACCACTGAAAATAGAAGAGCAAGGTTCTCGAGTGCTGCATTGTGCAATGTATCAACATTTCATAAAAATTAGCATGATAAAGTCATGCAACGTATTTAGGGTAATTAACATAATAAAAGCAATATGAATATGAACGACACCATTAAACAATGTGAACATTAATCATGAAATAAATGAATGCATTTTGCATGCCACTTTTGGACAAAGAACCTTTGCACCTTTCGCAATGTTATTTGTCGCCTGCACACACTTGTTCATTAAGTGGCGTAGCGTTCGTAAAAAAAATAAGGCTTGAACAGTCGAATACTTGTGAAGTTCACTTTCTACTTTTAAAATTTTTAGTAGAAGTAGATAAGGTTTTTGTCATTGCGACACCTGCATTCTTGTAGTTCCAGAATATCTGAATTTTCTTTATTTTGCGCTTTATCTCTTGTTGTTGGTCTGAACTTGTCCTACATTTCAGTTGCACATGATACAGCAGAATGGTCTTTTCATCCTCCGCCTTATTTCTCAGTCACAAAATTAACTATATATTTTTGAAACATTAAAAAATAACACAAACAATTAGTTCAAACTGAGCTTATTACGAACTCAATACTGTATCTAAATAAGACCTTCATTCTTGCAGCTTTCAATGTAATGAACTAAAAGCCACTCTTTAATTTTGTCGGTTGAACATGGAATTACAGCTGTTTCGTGAGGTTCTGACGACACTAACATTTACCTGCAGTCTTTTGTAACACCGTAATAGTTCAAACTTAATATATGGTTCTGATTCTTTACAACTAATTCCAAAGTCTCAAAACGGTGCTTTGTAAAACGGGCTCAAGCCTAGCCACTCAGACGACAGTATTGTCACAATTTATTTGGGAGTGAGTCAAAACCATCTAGGTTTTTTTAAAGGCACTCAGTTATGTGTAGAGAGCTGATTTCTAGGTTTAATGCTTTTTGTGAAAAATGTAAGCACTTCAAAACTTTTTTATATCTGTAACTATGATACAGATATAAAAAATAATTTGGAGTCATTTGACACATTTTTTTTATGCTTATCTGCTTTTTTTTCAATTTTATGCATATTAAAACTTATATGCTTATTTAATGCTTTTTTCGACGAATATGAGTTTTAATGCATATTTTGTTCAAATGCCGGCCTTGTCGGGATGACAAATACTTGTTAGTTAGGCGTATCGGATCGTATGCATTTTACCTGGACTTGACCATTGAAGTACACTTCCTCAAGACCCTTTCTGTGAATAGGTTCTGGTCCTTTGGGTAATAAAATTTTATTATAGGATTGGAAAAATACTCCATAGATTTTATGACTTTAAATCCTTACTTCCGCTGATAATGAATTAAAGCTTTTAACCAGATGTTCTTTTTCGGCATTTTGCGGCAAGACCGTTGAAGATTTTCTAGAAAAAAGGATTATTGTACCCAACTATCTACCTTAAAATTTTTCTAATGGAAACTTTTAAGTAAATGAACCGTTTATTTCACAACCATCAGTCTATCCCATCTGTCGTAGTACAGTGTTATACGTGGTTCTCCCTTGTTACATGTTGAGTTCTTTTTGGTAATATTACTAATATTTTAAAAGAATGCCGAAAGTAAAATCGACGCCGGATGAGTGGATAAGGGATTTTCCAGAATTAAAATTAGAAAACAACAAAATATTCTGCAGAGCTTGTGTGAAAACCGCAAGCCCACTAATTTTTTTTTTATCTATTTTCCTTTGTTAATCCTGTATATGTACGTTGTTTTAGACTTAAAGTGATAAAAAATATAACGTGACGCAACATGTCAGAACGACTCTTCATGTAGAAAGGAAGAGAATGTTTGAAGTTTCTAAAATTAAACAGCAGACCATACATGAATCTTTTGCATCTACTTCCACAAAAGATGAGCAGTTTCAGTTTAATTTCGATTTATGTAAAATGATGATCCAGTCCAATATACCTTTAAAAAAATTGGAGAAAGGCCCTCTTCAAGAATTCCTTGAAAAACACTGCAATAGACATATTCCGGTTGAAAGTACTCTCCGAAAAAATTATGTAGGTCCAGTGTTTCAGCAAGTTTACAACGAAATTAAACATCGCATTGGAGATAATTATTTATGGTTCGCTGTCGATGAAACAACCGATAGTTGTGGAAGATACGTGGCAACTTTAATTGTTGGAATCTTAAATGAAAATTTCCCTAGGCGAGGGTATGTAGTAAGTTTGAAAATATTAGATAAAACAAATGGCAATCTTACGTCACTATTTTTGCCAAATGCCGTACCGGCGAATAAAATTTTATTGATGATCTCGGATGCAGCTCGTTCTATGTTGAAAGCAGGGAATAATCTAAAAATATTGTATCCCAATTTAATTCACTCTACTTGCATTGCTCACAGTTTAAACAGAGTGGCTGAAGGAATACGTTTGCAGTTTCCTACTGTTAATAAATTAGTGGCAAATGGTAAAAAGATTTTTGTTAAAGCCCCACTAAGAGTGCAACATTTTAAGGAAAAATTTCCAAACATACCATTGCCCCCAGAGCCGATTATAACGAGGTGGGGAACATGGTTACAGGCCATATTTTATTATGACAAATATATCAAAGAATTTGAGGAAGTAGTTACGGAGTTTAGCCAAGATTCTTCTCAATCGATTAAAGATTGCATAAATATTTTGGGAAACAAAGATTTGCGACAAGATCTAGCTTTTCGAAGAAGCAATTATCAATTCGTATGTGAGGTAATAGAAAAGTTAGAAAAACCCAACATGTGGTTGGTAGATGCCATAAACTTAGTGAAAGAATTTAAACAAGAAGCAAACGCAGTAAGGGGTGATATTGGTACTAGAGTATCTCAAAAACTTGACGAAGTGTTAAATAAAAATGCAGGTTTCGGTGTTCTTTCCGACGTTGCTCGTGTTTTACAAGGCCAGAAGGTGGAAAATTTGGAGTTAGATTCAACATTAGTTGCAAAATTCAAATTTTCGCCAACAACGAGTGTGGATGTTGAACGCACATTCTCCAATTTTAAACACATTTTAAATGATCGGCGAAAAAATTTTACAGCGGACAACTTGGAACATATTACAATCATAAATTGTTTTAAAGAAAACTGAAATACGTGTGTAAAATGTAAAGTCTAGGATTATTGTAATAATATTTTATCCAAAGTTCTAAGAAGTGTTCTTTGATTTGTAATATGATTATGTTTTTAATGCTTTTTTGCTTTAAATAAAACTTTTTTATTGAAAATGTTGTGCTTATTTAAGCGCTTATTCTTAATTTTTTTGTGCTTGTAAATCCGCTCTCTAGTTATGTGATAAAGCTATTTCGTAAGACTGGTAGCATTCAGAGGAAATCAGTAACTTTCGAAGTTTTTAAAAATGTCAGGTTATGGATGATAACCTCCATACAACTTTAGAAAGCTTTTGCAGCAAGTTCACTTGTCATATTCAACTTGTCAGAAAATTATTAAAATACCTAATGTTTCCCTACAAAATGCAGAGGTTTAAGAACTTAAACCACCCGATTATGAAAAGACAATGATTTATTGTCTGATTTAATCAAACAGTGAACAATGCTCTTCTCAAAATAACATTTTTTAGTGATGAAGCGTGGTTTCATCAATCAAGATGTGTACAAAAACTCGCAAAATATGAGGATGTGCAGCGTACAAAATCTTCATTGTTTTGAGGAAACGCCAATACACTCATAGAAATCTTTTCTAACAAAATTTTATGACAACCCCACATAGACCATATCTTCCCACCTTGATCACCTGATTTGACACCTTTATATTATTTCTATTTCACGACTTTGAAAAACACTGTTTTTAAACAATCAGTGGATACAACTGAAGACATAAAAATGAGAATCATACAAGAGTGTGAAAATGCTTCACGGGAAGTTTTTATTCGATTATTTAAGAATATGAAACGCCGAGTCAATTTATATATCGCAGCTGGGAGCCAAAACTTCCAGCAATTATTGTAGATTCAATTAAATATGTTACTTATTATAAATAAATCATTTTAAATCCAACAAGGGTTTAATTCTTGTTGACATAACATAACCTATTACTCTAAGCTCAGCTACAGAAAACCCAGATTCAGGATATATAGTGAAATTGTGAAATCATTACAAAAATGCATTGACGTTATTGCTTTATATTTTTCAGCTTTAGTCAAATGCACGATTGTTTTTAGTTCATTTTCTTTCTAGTGTCATTTATTTTCCTATTGTCTCATTCAAAGCTCAATCCATTGTGCCTTTAGTGTATACTTGCTACAGCTTCTGAAATAATGAAAATCTTCAACAATTTTTCTTCACCTGTACAATTCGTCATGCCTTGTTTTTCAACTAAACACTTTTTGCTGCATACTATTTGATTAATCCTTCTAGTGGATTTTAGAGCCTTTTAAATGCAATTTAAATCGAAATAAATTGACAACTGACAGGAATAAAATATTTCCAACAAAATAAAACCAACTATTACTACTCGTATTTAGCAATGTAAATAAAAATTCATTCTCTTTATGGCTCAAACACGATTCAAACATGACACGAAGTCGCATGTTACTACCAGCAAATGTTTTAAAATGTGTGAAAAAGGAAAATTACAATGTCTAAATAAAATATAAAGCGCTAACAAAAACTGAATAGACATAATTAAAAAAATTAAAAAATCGTGAATAAAAAATCATTGGCTTTTTATTTATTTTTAAACCGATTTTGCGCCAAGCATCACAATGTTCACGCTTTAGTAAAAATCATAATTGTCACATAAAATAAACTTACGCGAATTTCACCGACTTGCTACATATTTTTAGTAAAGTAAGTACGGTTCAGACAAAATAATACACTGAATTGCTCAAGTTTGTGTTGTATGACAACGAATGTTCGAATGGACACCACTGGCTCATTAATCTTGATTAATGGCAATAAAAAAAGACCACGTAGTAGATGTTGGTCACTTGCGCGCCGCGGTTAGTTTACCTTGTATAGAAG